CCTTTCTCCCATGATTTTCTAGATGATGAGGTTTTATAAGCACATTCTGAAGGTATACACTTGTTAAGTTTATCTAAGGCTCATTCATTCATTTATTTGACAAATATTCATGTAAATACTCTTGTGTTTGAATTGAGGTTGTAAACAGATCAATGAGGTAATTTTTGCTTTGGGGGAGGTCATATCCTAGTGGGAAGATGGATTATAGATGGCAAGAGCCGCTACAAGGTAAATGAAGAGAGGTGTGGTACAGAGAGGGTGGGGATGTTCTTCAGATGGAAAACTTCTCTGAAGGGGTGACATTTAGGCTGAAACCTGACAAATAAATAGGAATCTGGGTGAGAAAGTTGAGAGAAAAAGCATTCCAGGTAGATGAAAAGTCAAATAAAGAGCACTGAAGCAGAAAAGAGAAACTTAGCTCTTCTTTGTACATCACAGTGTTGGCTCAGGTACTCTGGAAGGGCAGGAAAGACCCGTCCCCCTTCCAATCTGGAAGCAACTTATTTCTGAGGAATAGTGAGTCCAGTGATTATTTCCTGTGATTTACTCCCTGGTTCATTTCCCTGTGTGCCTCCAGATCATGTTCTCTGGGAAGGTACTCAGAACTCACCTGCTCTTCCAAATACCTAAATAGTATCCAGCTATGTACATAAATTTGAACTATAAAATACACAGCCGTGCCTGAAAAACTCACGTGTTCCCTGTATGTTTCAGAAATTGAGTTCATCTTCAAAAACTTCAAAGAAATTTGCCATTTAGAGGAAAAGAAAAGGCAAATAATTCTTTTATATTAAAACAACTCCAGGCTGATCTATTTAGTTAAATATTCATATATTGGGCTCCTTTAAAAGTAGTAAAATTATTTGGGAGCACTGACTCACTTATCTTTAATGGCATGCAAGTCAAGAAATCCTGGGAGAGAGTTTTCCTCACAGAAGAGTTCACTTTCTGAGACATGGAGAAGGAACTGAGAAGTTGACAAATACAATTTCCTTGCAGGTAAGTTTGGACAACAAAGAGCTCAGGTTTCTTGCATCTCATGTTAAGTTAGAAGGATACTAATATCTCACAGTTTTTAAAGTTTCAATTCTAATGGTTCACAAGACACTATTGTCTGAATTACTTAAATGCATTTAATTTATAAATAATGAGAAAACAGTACAACGAGAAACTACAAGTCTCAGTGTTGTACTTGGTTACAAAAAGGTACCATTTAAAAATCCTGTTTCCTGAAGAGACCTAGTCAGGTTAGTTTCATTACAATGTACCAGAGTCATTTGTAATACTTTAGCCTTGCCTGGCTAGGAAGGCCATTTTAACGGTTGTGTATCCAAACTTTTAGGAGAGTCAGTGATCCATCACCCCCCTACTGAGTTTAATCATATTCACTTCAGGAAACTATTTGCCTTGAGACTGTTCAGTTTGTCCTGCTGCTATAATTTATCAAACGAGGCAAATAGTATCCATTTATATACTGCCAAAACCGCCTCCAGGAAAAAATTGTAATAAATATCGCATTGTTTCCAAACCTAAATAAAAATTTTTATCATTTAAACATGTCAAGTCTTCATAATATACAAGACAAAGAAAAAAGAAAAGAATATAGCAAGACCCTAGATATAAAACATAAATTTGAAAGTATATTTAAGATATTATATAAAACACTTGTCTATTCACTTCGTCCTTACACATCTTGCAAAATAAGTATCGTTATTCCCATCTTATAGGAAGAAAAACAGGCTACAGGAAACCCAAGCATAGTGTCAATGTTACACTCTGGGAAGAAACTTGTACTTGTTCCCATAATTCTGAATAGCTTGTAATGTAGAAAGGGAAGAAAATGTTGAAAGTTACAAAGCAAATATAAAAATCATGTATCGACAAGTACAGAAATAATATTGATATGAGCAAGAATGCAGATATTCCTAGAATCCCCATCTGTTTCCTCCTGTCCCAGAGTAAGGAACTCTGATAGAGTTTTGGTTCTCTATGAAACCCCAATTATTGATAGGCCCATGAAATTTCTTGGTAAATTTTATTCTTAGGATTAGCAATATTTTTTTCCTCACAGAAGATTTCTGCCCACTGGAGACTCTGCTTTCTCATAGGCACAGGGTTTTATTTATTTAATATTATCCAACGTCCAACTTAATATTGTAAAAGAGCAACCACTTCATTATTTCTCATGGTTCTTTGCGTTGACTAGGCTGAGCTGGATGGTTCTTCTGCTCCATGTGTTTTCAGCAATGAGCTGTAGTCATCTGGGGGCTTATTTAGCTGGAATGTCAAGTGGACTGGCAGTAAATGCTGGTTTTAAGCTGGGAGTTCACCTGGGGATGTCAACTGGAGTAAAATGGCCTCTTCATGTGGCCTGGGCTTCTCATAGCATGGAAACTGGGTTCTGAGAGGGATCGTCCTGATAACGAACATTTCAAAAGGAAACTGCTGGCCTTTTCATACCTAGGTTTAAAAATCCCAGTATGCCACTTCTGCTTTCTGTCGGCTAGTCCACATTTAGGGAGTGAAAACAAAGCTCTACTTCTTGATGTGACCATCAACATGAACATACAGAGGGGAGAAATTGTTGAAGGCCATCTTTGGAGTGAAGCTCCCATAAGAACACACCACCAATACGTAGAGAAGCTATAAGATGTGACCATTTAAATAAGCCCCCCAAACCTTCCCATTAGGGTACACTTGGTAAATCTCATATACATTCCATGTAAAAGTACTCTGTTGATAGAACCAAAAATTTTTAGAAGCAGGTAAAAATTATGGAAGACTTTTGGGAGGAGGTAAGATTTTGAGCCCAGTCTGACTGAGATGATATATATAAATTGAACAATCTCAGTGAAATACTTGGCTTATGTTTGTATAATACAAGCAAACCAGACTGTAATCCATAATAGTGATTTTGCCCAAGTTGATGTTTTAAGCACAGAAAAAGCAACAAATCTGTGTGTCTGAGTTTTATTATAAAGACGAGCTGTAGCAAAACAGACAGACTGCATTTCGAGGTTCTGTTCTAAGGTTGATTCTTATAAAGCCCTATGAATTAATCCGTATCAAAGCTTTAGTGGTAACCAAATAACGTATTTGTGACAGATGGTGGACCAGATGACTGAATATGCATTATGTTGATTCCTTGCCAAACAACTTTTAAATACACAGCCTTCTGAGTGATTGAAATGACTCATGGATTGATAGAATACATTATATTCACAGCAAAATAAAACTAAGAAAGATGAAGAGATGCCAAAAGAGTATCTTCTGTGGGAAAAAAAAAAATTAAACAATGCAATATAGTATATATCCTTGTAACAACTCCATACAGTTATTTAAAAGTCGCAACCTGAAGCTGCACTGAGCACAGTGTTAGCATTCTGATAAGATGAGACAAAGCTAGAATATCAAGCAGGTGTGAGGCAACCACGGTCTCAGAAACAGCCAAATATAAAGACAAAGAAGGTAGGGGGAGGAAATGTATAAAATTACCCGTGGTGAATACACTTAAGCAGATTCAATCTCAAATCTTCTTAAAAACCAGATACTCTGTACACAGAAAGTGTAAAACATTTTCTAATTTGTTATTTATCATAGTACATTTAGTTTTTTTAAACACCTATAAAAATAAAGTCCAGCAAAATAGATTATTATTAGAATTATTACTGTTTTGTTAAAGATTCAGTACGATTAGAGAGGACAAATGATACCGGGCAAGAACACCTGACTAGTTTTATGGCTTTCAATGCAATGCAGTAGATTATGCATTCATTCAGATATTACATACTAGGGAGAGGAATTTATCTGGGGATCAGTAAGTTATCTGCAGAGAACTCCTACATAAGACTGATCCCTCCAGACCTCCTGGTGAGGTCCATCTGCCTCCACCAGATGACAACACTCCTATCGTTCATTCCTTCTCCACCCAGATCCCTATCCACACATTCCCTCCTCCCATGTGAGTACCATGCAAGCGGGGAGCAGTCTGTCTCTGTGGCTAAGACACACACTGGCTTGGCTACAGAGAGCCTGTGTATGACTGGAAAGGTTTTAGGGAACAGCATTATTTTAACTCTTCAAGTTTGCCAAGAGTGCTGTCTCTTCACCAATACAAGTTTCATACTCTTAAAAGTAATATGAATCTCAACGCAAATGAGGGATCACCCTTACATTCAATAATATCAGCAACTCACTACCCACTCAGCCTATAGCTCTGTGCAAACTCCCAGTCTAGTGGGTGGATCTAAAACCCTATTTCATCAGCTCTCTCTTTGAAGTACTTCAGGCCATTACAGTGGAAAGACAGAGAGAAATGTTTGTGAGTTTCACAAGAGATAGACACCTGGGCTGCTTCCACATACGCACTACAAACAGGAGCCCAAATCAAGGCCATCATCATCTCACTGCTGGATTTTACCAGTTCGAATGGCTTTACGACCACGTGGCCTTTGAGTTTGCCATTTATAGGAGGGTGGGGGATGAGTGGGAGGATCCAGGTTTAACATGAGAAAAACTAATAAAAATCTTCAGTATGAAAGTGCCTTTCTACTCTTTTTGCTGCTAGGCCCAGCGGGGCAAACTGTTTCACAGTTCCTCGTTCCACCCCACTGTGTATAGTCTGCCTGTAAGGAAAGCTGGCAGCTAACTCTAGCATCTGAGTCCTCTGTGAGGGATTCCTCAGGATTGAATCCCCCAGCTCAACATTGGAGGAAACCTGCCTGAGAAAGAAGAATGCAAAGAGAACAGTGGGGAGACAAAAGAAAAAGGAAGTGATCTCAAATGCAGTACAAGGTTGAGTAGTCGCTACACAGGGTTAGCGTTTGGTTCTGATTTTAACTGGAGACCGGGTGAAATGGAGACTCAAGAACTCTCACTCATGTCAGCAGGTCTTTGGCTGAGCCTCTAAAAGCTGGCTGACCAGATAACTGCTCCCAAGAAATGCAACATAGGAGGGTAGAATTTGTAGCAAACAAGCTGAAGTTCCAGTCACTCTGTTCCTGCAAGAGAAAATCTTAGCCCGTGAACACAAGAATGACTCACTCTCAGAGGCAGGTAACATCATTACTTCCACTTGGTAGTGAGGACCTGAAAGAGTGAGAGATAACAAGACTTGTTACTCACAAAGCCAAGAGGAGACCTCAGAGTTTCGGGATCTCTGGTTACAGTCTATCTTCTCAGAGAGGTTTCCCCTGACCCTTCCATCTAAAATAACCCCCTCCCCAGATACTGTATCAAAATCATTTTCTTCATAGCCCCTATAACTATCCAATCTGTTCTTTCTTTCTTTATTTTCTTCTGCTAAATGTAAATGTCAAGGGAATAATGCCCTATTTATCTTTTTCACTGTTTTCTCTTAATTCCTAGAACAAGACTTGGAACAAAGTCAACATTTAGTAAATATTTTTTGCATTTCCTTTACATTTTTTCTCTGCATATATATTTGCAATTATCTTGTATATAAAATATTTACATTTTTCTATTAAATATTGTATGCATTTATTCATGTAGCCACACAACCTTTATAATAAAATAACTTTAAATGACTGCTTAGTATTCTTCCTGAGTACCGTGAGTACACTGCTATTTCTGGATATATAATTTATTTCCACTATGTATATTATTATACTGAAATTTGTAATAAATAGATAATTTAGCATCTTTTCACATATGATTTTTACCTTCTTTTCAACTATTTCTTTAGAATAAATAAGATGACTAAATCAATGGATTTAAACATTTTTATGATCCTTGATTTATAGCAACCAATTCCTTTCAGAAAGAGTTGCACCGATTTAAATGACTGAAGATACGATACAAAGTTTTTTTCCCCAAAGCATTCGTAACTCGGTAGACCGTTTTCTTTCTTCAATGTTCATGTGCTCTCAATTATCTCTACCAATTAGGGCAGAGAAACAGCTATTTCATACCTCCATGTGGTAGGTGACAATGGAGCCATATCGGGTGTTTCCATTTACCATGAGCTTAGGGCTTGAAGTCATCCTGTGAATTTCATTACCTTTACCCTGAAGGACAAGAAGAGCTTCTTATAGATTAGTTTGTTTGTTCTGGGGGTAGAAAGGCATAATTATATCAATTTTTCATGCTTATTGAAGTGAACTTAGCCCAAAAAGCTAGTTAGTATTTAGATCCTTCTATTCTTGAGTTCCAGTCCAGGATGTATTTTATTCCACCTCATTTAAATTTTATTATAAAGTCATTGGTCTTCAAAATTTCCTATTTCTAAACCACATCACTCTTGTTTAATTGCCTTCTCTTGGAGCAAAACAGTGATTGCAACAGTAATTTGTAATACTTGGCATTTTGAACAAGGCTACATATTCAATAAACTACAAGTTTCTTCAAGTTCATATAAAATATCTATTTTATTTAATCCACATGTAGCTTATTTTTCACCGTAATAATAAGATACAGTTTTGCTTCAATTCCATGAATTTATACTCCTGGTGTCTTTTCATTGATTTTCTTTTATCATCTAATAATATATGTCTAATTTTCTAATTTAATGTTGAGTAAAGATTAGTCAATGTAAAAATACATCTTTCCAATCTGCCAGAAGCTAAAATCTGAATATTTTATTATTATTATTATTTTTTTCTGCTAAGTGTGAATCATTTATTAGTCCCTCTTTTAGGTCATGTAGCACTTTTTAGATAGGATTCAAGACTGGACATTAGAGAGTTAGAAAACTGTAGAGGTCTTATCTTTTATACTTAGTTGCTATTAAAATTACAAGCTTTCAAATGGAAATATCTTTAACTTCTTCTCCCTTTTGCTTATTTTTCCAACAGACAGGTTTCAGATATTTACATTGATAAAAGACACTAATGCTTTAAAATACTGAGAAAAAATATTTAAACATTGGCTTATTACAGCTTGAGCTTCTGCTATTTGTTACATATCAATAACAAGTTCTAATAAAATTTATTTGGGGTATGTTACAGTACAATAAAAAAAATCTCATTACTATACAGTAACTGTGATTATCTGGCTAGAGCTTAGTTTGACAAAGCAAAGTCAGCTAGTAAAAAAGAAATGCTTTTGCTTATAGTAGTTTTTATTGATTTTCAAAATCTACTTCTCTTCCTCTCTCCCTTACTCCCACCTATCCCTATTTCCCTTAAACCTTTTTAGAGCTTCATACATTTACTGGATAAATTACTTTTTACTCATTAAATGACTTTCTACTCATAAGATGACTAAGAAAGAACTCATTGTTTCCACATGAAAAAATATCAATTTAGTTTTCAAAGAGTCTAAATTAACTCTCAGTTCTAAGGAAGCAGCTCACTGTTCCTGAACCATACTTTTGAGTCATGGACATACAGTTCAGACCCCATGAAATCAACAGCTAAATGAGTAAGAATAGATCTGAAAACAATGAATGGAGTCTGGAAAGGGCTGAGAGTAGCTGGACTTTGCAACCTTTTTCTGATTTCTCTTCTGCTAAAGGTACTCTGACAGATCCAAATGATGGCATTGAGTGTCCAGAGGACCAAACAGGAGAAGAAAATTTTAAATCATTTTTCTTCTTGGTTTAATGTGAACTTGATGGCAGTGTGAATAATAGTGAATAAGCAATTTGTAAGACCATTAAGCTAGACTAGTCTATATTTTCAGGCAACTACAAAAATAAGTTTTATAAAGGTAGTGGAAGGAAATAGTTGTAGTATAATGTGTGCCTATTTTTTTCAGTTCTCATTCCTAGTTACTGGCACCTCTTAAAACAAATCTGAGAAATAATTTTGTTTGGGCATTAGTTAGGCCCAGCTGTTTTGTATTTACAGAACCATTTACTTCTCCTTCATAGCATTCATCAACACTGCATTCCTCTGATTGTTTGATGACTTACTGCCTCCCTAAACGCTAAGATTTTGGGCAGAGGAGACATGTTTTGTCATATTCACTGCCATACCTCCAGTTCTGTAAGCCAGCCATAAATATTTTTGAATGGATAAATAGAAGATTGAATAAGTGAGTAAATACATGGTTAAAAGTTCAGCCCATTCGCAAAGATTTCCATAGAACACATGAAATCTACAGTTATTGTCACACAAATAGGGATGAGGTTACATATACACAAAAACATTTGTCATTTTCAAGCTCATTTGTAATGTGCTTGATACTTTCACCAAATATCTTATCCTTAATCAAAACAAATATTTTTTTCTCAAAAAGTTTCTTTCTCTGAATGTGTATGTGTGTTTTAACACAGGTACATCTAGAAGACATTTAATACACAATTTTATAATTCTGTAACAACTTATTCAGGCATTTCAACACTTGGATAAATTTTAGATAAAAACTCTTGCTTTACTTTTTCCTCTATAATATCATAGAACTCATGCTTTGTTAATTGTAAACAGTTTCTAATCTATATTGATCCTGGATTCATGTTTACTCAGGCTGAAAAAAAAAAACATGTTTCTACACTGCTGGTTGCAATACAAATTAAGCACCAGCTGGGCGTGAGTCAGTAGTTAAAGATTATAGCCTTATATCATGGCATTCCAGTTCTAGGATTAATCATATATAATAAATACTCAACATAAGCCGAAAGTTTTCTCTGAGGGGTTTCAGAAATGAGGAAGAAAGTTGAAACAAAAATAAAATTGAAGGAGTCCATCTTTAGCTGACCACTGCAAATGTCTTAAGGCTCCTGTTTATAACAGGCTGTTCCTTTTCAGAAGAGCGGAGAAAACACACAGGGTGCATAATGTCATTTGTCTGACTGACTCACTGCAGTCTGGGAGGAATGGTAAAAAGACAACATTTGAATGTAGAAGAGCTGATTAGACATCCCATATCTGCTATGTCTTTGCTTATTTTATGTGTGAATAACTACAAAACACCTTTGAGCCATTAAACACCTCTGAGCCTAATTTAATCTATTCATCTGTCAGAACCTGAGCTCTTCCACTAGCTGGGTGACCTTGAGCAAATTACTTAGCCCTCTGTGACTGTTTCCTTATCTATAATATGGGGATACTTAGACTTCCTGCCTCAGAGTGCTGTTGTGAGGATTGAATAAACAATATTTGTACAGAACTTGAAACAGACTGGATAACATTATAATAAATATTTCCAAATAGCCATGACTGTCATTTCCATTATATATTCTTTATGAACAGCTGTACTTTCTGTTTTGGCATGTGTTCAAAGTACACCAAAATCTGATGACTTCCTTTACTTATGCAGGCAAAATTTGTGCCAGAGGTGGTCCATAATTCCCCCCGTTCCCGTTCCATCTTCTCTCAATCTTCACGCAATATCTTCAGACCTTTGGACCACTATATTAGTCTTAGGACTGCCAAAACAAAGTCCCACAGACTGGGTAACTTCAGGAACAGAAACTTATTTTCTCATAGTTCTATAGTATAGAAGTCCAAGATCAAGTTGTCAGCAAGGTTGGTTTCTTCTAAGGTCTCTCTCCTAGGCTCACAGATGTCCCTCTTCTTCCAGTATCATTACATGGTCTTCCCTCTAAACATGTTTATGCCCTAACCTCCACTTCTTATAAGAATATCAGTCATAATAGATGAGTGTTCACCATAAAGACCTCATTTTAATTTAATTACCTCTTTAAATACCTTATCTCCCAACACGGTTACATTCTGAGTTACTGGGGATTAAGATTTCAATATATGAATTTGGCAGAACACAATTCAGCCCATAATCACTGAATTTAGTTCAACTATTAGTCCTTGGTCTCTGTTTCAAGTCAGCCATGAAGCAATGAGTTCTTTCCCTGTTATTTGTCTTCTGGAATAGGGACCTATGTGGGAGGTAAGCTCAATCACTAAAGGGAGCACAGAAACCCGAACCAGTGACCTAGAGCTAAGCATGGAAGAAATGAAATAGAGAAATTAAGTTCACTTTGCCCCAGCCAATAGAAGCAGCATTTCTTCCCTAAACCACCTATCCCTTCCAGGTCAGCTTTCTCCAAACAGGTTTCCAGAGCCCAAGAACCAGGCCTCAGTAGCCAATATTAGAAGCCTGACCGGGATTTTACATTTCCCAAGCTTTCTGAAGGCAAGTCCACCAGTGCGCAGATGACAAATTTGGAAACAACCTAAGTGTCCACCAATGGATGAATGGATAAAGAAATTGTGTGTGTGTATACACACACACACACACACACACATACACACTAGAATATTAGTCATTAAAAAAAAGAATAAAATCTTGCCATTTGCCACAACATAGAGGGATCCTCTGGACATTATGCAATAAGTTAAATGCAATAAGTCAGGCAGAGAAGGGCAAATATTGTATGATCTCTCTTATATGTGAAATTAAAAAAACAAAAACAAAAACAAACAAACCTGAACTCATAGATATAGAGGATAGATTGGTGGTTGCCAGAGGTGGGGGAGGTGGACAGGGGCAAGTGAAAGGTGGGAGAAATGGGTAAAGAATTGTTGTTTTAGTTTAAACTGAATTTTTTAAAAATGACCAATCCAACTAATTACACATGGTTGTTAAAGACTAGTCCCTTAGTTCTGGGTGTTTGCCTAGGATTCAGCTGAGTCCAGTTGAGTCCAGCTGAGGTGTTTCTCCCACAATTGCTCCTTCTTTTTCAGATGTGCTTTGGCCTCAGCCATGTCTTGCTACTGGTACCTCTTCCTTGCTATTTATTTGAGGGTTGTCCCCAACCACTAGACTGCGGGAGTGCTGCTCTTTACTCCCATCGGGAGGATGCTGAAACCCTTAGTAGGGTTTCTTGTGCTTTGCTCTTGGAAGGTGGAAAAGTCATTCCCAAGGTTTTTACCCAGTAAGTTCACCCCAGTGGATTTTCATTCCATCTTTTTGAGCTCATCTTTTCCTCATGATGTTGAAGGTCAGAGTACCACTCCCGAAGCAACTCAGCTATCTCTGCAAAAACTCGTTTAGTCATAGTTAGCTCAGTATTATGGAGGTACATACATTCTGCAGACACAATTCATCTAAATATCTTTTCTGGGAGGGAGTGAAATACAGTGAATGAAAAGTACATAGGCCTTGG